GGAGGAGGTTGAATGGGGTATGCAGGAGGCTGTGTGGAGTACATAGCTTGGAAGCTGGGGAGGAAGTTGTGTGAGTGTAACTTGAAACTGAGGGCCATTGGTTTTAGGGCAAGGAGAGTGAGGCTGCCATAGCTCAACATCAAGTTTAGAAAGTACTTATGTGGTTGTGCAACACAAAGTCAAGAAATGATGATGACAAACATCAGCTGCAAATAAAATGTTCCCCTTATGAACTTGGGTCCATGGGATTCAGTTAGAGCAGTGTCACAAAGAAATTCAACCCATCAAGAAAAGGAGGAATATCTGATTAGCCCAACTTCTTTACTTGAACCTCAAAAATCATGAGGTTTGATTTTAAATGTCAAATTTTTACTTTTGTGGGCTACAAAATCACTGAGGACAGTGACTGCAGCCACTGAAATTAAAAGATGCTTGCTCCTTGGAAGAAAGGCCATGACAAACCTAGACAGTGTATTAAAAAGCAGAGATATCACTTTGCCGACAATGGTCCATATAGTCAAAGCTATGGTTTTTCTAGTAGTCTTCACGGCTGTTAGAGGTGGACCATAAAAAAGGCCCAAGAATTGATGCTTTTGAAGTGTGATGCTGGAGAAGACTCTCGAGAGTCCCTTGGACAGCAAGGAGATCAAACCAGTCCATTCTAAAGGAAATCAACACTGAATATTCATTGGAAGGACTGGTGCTGGAGCTGAAGCTCTAATCCTTTGGCCCCTGATGGGAACAGCTGGTTCATTGGAAAAGACCCCGATACTGGGAAAGATTGAGGGCAAGAGGAGAAGGATGAGATGGTTGGATGGCATCACCGACTCAACAGACATGAGTTTGAGCAAACTCCGGGAGATAGGGAAGGACAGGGAAGCCAGTCCATGGGGTCCCAAAGAGCTGAGCATGACTGAGCAACTGAACAACGACAACAAAAACCATGAATGAGACTCTGAGACTCAGAGAAGAATGTAACATCCCTTGCTCTCTTGTTTATTTCTATTACAGCCCATGGCTATTCCAGAAGCCCTTCTCCATAGGTCCTGGAAAGCTCTTTTCATCTCAGACCCTCATGCAATTTTCTCTTCCTTCTTCCCTCCCCTCATCTCTTCCTAGACTATGTTAAGTTGACCTAACCTGTGTATTGTGAAACTCTTTTCAAGGAGGTGAAATAGATGAAAAATTAGGGTGGAAGTCACAGGGCTCTGTTGTTGAAGCTGGATGAGGTGGCAGATTGCTGTCTATCCACCAGATTTTATTAGGGGAAGTGACAATGTGAATACTAGGGTGTAAACTCTTTTCAAATTAAAAGCTCCATGAAGGCAAGGATTTTTATCTTCTATTCACTGTTCTATCCCAAGTGCCTAGAATAATATCTGACATACACAAGGCACACAGTCAATATTTTTTGAATAAATGTACCCAGACTATGCTTTTCCAGATTTCCTCGTAGCTAGGAGTGGCCATGCGCCAGTTCTGGCCGATGATATAAGAGAAAGTCTGATGTGAGTTGCTAAGGATATTTTTGTTTCCCTGGGTAATGTTCTAATACATTAGAACATGACGTATTATGTATTAGAACACTATGTATGGCATGGCCCCTTCATTTTTCTTCCTATCTTGAATGAGAGTGTGATGTCTGGATCTACAGCAGCCACCTGTGACCAGGAAATCACAGGCATGACAGAAAATCCATTAGGAGCACAAAGCCATTGATGTTAATATCTGCAAATTACAAAGCCAACACCAGAAGCAGCCTATCTCTAGACCTCTTGTTATATGAGAAAATAAGCCTTTTTTTTAAAATTGAAGCTACTGTTAGCCAGGTTTTCTGTAACTTGCAGTCTGACTTGATCATAACTAAGGGAAGAAGCAGAAAAACTATAAATATTCTCATAATGACAATTTCTGTTTCAAATCATCTATAGGCTATTATGGGCTTCCCAGGTGGTGCTAGTGGTAAAGAACCCGCTTGCTAATGCAGAAGACATAAGAGACATGAGTTCGATCCCTGGGTCAGGAAGATCCCCTGGAGGAGGGCATGGCAACCTACTCCAGGATTCTTGCCTGGAGAATCCCATGGACAGAGGAGCCTAGGGGGCCTACGGTCCATAGGGTAGCAAAGAGTCAGACACAACTGAAATGACGTCACTCAGTTGTGTTTGGCTTTTTGTGATCCCATGAATATATAGTCCATGGAATTCTCCAGGCCAGAATACTGGAGTGGGTAGCCTTTCCCTTCTCCAGGGGATCTTCCCAAACCAGGGATCAAATCTAGGTCTCCCACATTGCAGGCAGATTTTTTACCAGCTAAGCCACAAGGGAAGCCCTAGAATACTGGAGCGGGTAGCCTATCCCTTCTCCAGTGGATCTTCCCAACCCAAGAATTGAACCGGGGTCTCCGGGATTGCAGGCAGATTCTTCACCAACTGAGCTTTCAGAGAAGCTGGATGCAAGTTAACAAACACACAAATGCTATTATGGGCCATTTTCTTCTGCCTAATGTGGGATGCTCACAACAGATGTTGACAAGATAAGGAGTCAAGTTTTTCCAACTCAGGAAAAGCTTTTGCATGTAGGATTTCTATGGACTGAATTTCTAGGATTGCTATGGGCTGAATTGTGTCCTTTCCAAAATTCATATGTTGAAGCCCTAACCCCCAGTATGCAGAATGTGTTTTTGCAGATTGGATCTTTAAAGAAGTAGTTAAATTAGTGGTTACCAATGGGGAGAGGAAAATAGAGAGGGGCAAGATAGGGGTATGGGATTAAGAGATACAAACTACTACATATAAAATAAATAAGCAGCAAGGATGTATTGTATAGCACAGAGAAATAGAGCCATTATTTTATAATAACTTTAAATTGAATATAATCTATAAAAATATTGAATCACTATGTTGTACACCTGAAACTAATATAATATTGTAAATCAACTATACTTTAATTAAATAAAAAGAGGTAGTTAAATTAAAATGAGATCATCAGGGTAGGCCCTAATTCAATATGTCTGGTATGCTTATATGAAGAGGAAATTAGGTCACAGATATGTACAGAGAGAAGACCATGTAAGACTTAAGGAGAAGATGGCCATTTATAAGTCAAGAAGAAATACCTTAGAAGAAACCAACCTTGCTGACAACTTGATCTCTGACTTCAAGCTTCCAGAATTGCAAACAAAGTGAATTTTTGATGTTTAAGTTACCCAGCCTGTGTTATTTTGTTAGGGTAGCCCTAGCAGATTAATACAGACCAATACAGACCAATACAGACTAATACTAATACCAGACTTAACCTGTTGATAACCATTGGTTTCAGAGTTTTCTACATGGGATTCTGTTGCCAGGCGCTCATGGTGATATTTTCTCAGCACCCTCATGCTTTCTTTGTTCCCTGGCCCAGGTTTGTATTTCCTTACACTCTAGGTTGAGCTTTCTCAGGCTTTTGTCATGACACAATCACCTGTGGGGAGTCCTCAAATACAAATACCTAGATCTCACTCCCAAAGATGGCTGTTTAGTAGGTCTCATCAGGGCCCAACAATCCTTATTTCTAGAAAACTGTCCCAGGTGATGCTGAGGCCCCCTAGAATTGAGAGCCAGTGCCCTCATCTTCTATCCTAAAAGGCCTGACTGGCTGTGCCCTGAGATGGATGGCGAACGTTCCTCTGCTCTTTATTCTCAAAGAGACTGCAACCCCTCTTTTACGGGAGACTTTTAGGGATGTGTATGACCAATTTTGATAGAGAGGTAGCTTAAAGGTGCTGAGGGCAGATATAGGACATACCTGGTTTAAGGACCTCTCCTCCACATGCAGTCCCCTTCTATGTAGTGACTGACCTTTACAGCCGCTCAGATTTGTCTGTGTGCCAGGTGTAGGAGATAAAGTTGATTTTTTTTTTTTCCTGTAGATCAAGAATTGAAGAAAGAAGAGCTGGTGGGAGGAAGAGTGAAGTCAGGCCCCGACGGATTGCAAGGCTGAGATCAGTGTGTGTGTGTGTGTGGGGTGGGGGGTGATCAAATGACCTGTTTAATGGGTGGAATAGGGTAGGAAGGGTTATTGGAAGAGATACTGATAATGAGCTTATATCAAGAACTGGATTTTCCCTTGCATCTTTAGTGCCAAACAAGGAGTTGTGAAAAAGACTGAATGAATGCATGAAAGAATACTTGAGTGAGAAGCACTATCATGATACCAAGTGCCTGGGAGTTCTTCCAACCCCATCTTCCTGGAGGCATTTACGTTTAGCTCAGGGTTTGAGAATGAAAGGGAAGAAAGGCCATTGAGGTGAAGGAAGAGAATGAGCAAAGGCACAGCAAAGGCTATGAAATAACCTGATGGAACTCTGTGTTTTTGAACTGTGCCATCCTATAGAGTAGCTACTAACACATGGCTATTTAAAACTAAATTAAATGTAAAATACAGTCCATTAGATATGCTAACCGCATTTCAGGTGCCGAGTAGCCACAGATAGCAGCTGGTGGCTACCTTCTGGACAGCAGAGGTGTAGAACATTCCCTTTACTGTAGGAATTTCTGTGGGACAGTGTCCACAGAGAGGGCAGCACAAGTTGAAGAAATACGTAGGGGCCGAAAGGTCCAAAGAATCTCTTATAGAACACTTAAAAGCTCAGACTTGATCCAGAAAGCAATGGGCAGCTACTGAAAGAATATTTGTTTCTTAACTGAGATAAAATATATATAAAATTCACCATTTTAATCCTTTATAAGCATACAATTCAGTGGCATTAAGGATAGCACATTGTTGTACAACCATCACCTCTAGCCATCTTCAGAACTTTTTCATGACCCCAAGCTGAAACTCTGTACCAGTAAGGGATGCAGGGATCTTGTTTATTGAAGAGAAGAGACACTCGTTCTTTGGAGTCCCCAGTGCTGTGAAGGATCTGTGACTCCGAAGGGTGAGCTGAGAAAAGAAGAGAACTGAGAGCCAGGGCCACAAAGCAGAGGCTACTGATATGGACTCTTGTCTAAGGTATGGGGCCACTAAGAAAGACAGAACCCTGGCAAGGAACTCAGGGGATTAAAATGAACTGTTTACTCACAGTAAGGAATATTTCCAGGGTAGCTGATTCTCCCAAGCAGGAAGTTTTCCACGCTGCTTCCTATTTTCCCAGGTGTTTAACGTCCAAAGAAGATGGACTTGGAGAAATTCATTCACACCTACACCCACACAATCAACCCTACACTGTGAGTAACCTGCCTTATAAACTGGCAGCCTGGACCAGGGGTAATCTCTTCTTACAGCAGTCCCATTGGAAGAAACTTTCTGAGTTCTACCTCACAGAAAGGGCAGAAGCAATACAAAGTTACTCAAATTTTGTTAATAACACTTTTATTCACAATAACCTTTAAAATGATTTCCTATAAAAATGTAAATTATTTTCTCTGCTATCCATTACTTATGAGCAATATTATAACAACAATAAAGGAGCCTTAAAAATGATCTGATTTCACATTTTACTGCAAACTGTGGCCAGGGAGAAAGGTCCTTGTGACTGTGGTGTCTGGAAATGTAGATTTTCAATTTGCAAATATTGATGGCCTCCGAAGGACTGATTTAGTTGGTCAAGCTTAAAGAGAGGGAGACTTGTTGCAGAAATTGGGATTATGGATAGGTCTTCTCTTTTTGAGAATTTGAATTTTAAAAGAAGTTATTCAGAGGTAGTTTCACATATAGTTTTGTTCAATGGTTTGTATAAACTAGTTTAGTTAATTGATCCAGCTCATTTATATTAAAAGGATGTTATTTTATTGGTTTCACACCAGCCCCTGGGAGGTCTGAAGAGTGAGGAATTTCACATTTATGCACAGAGCCAGAAACAACTAAGAGCCAGGTGGAAATGGAGACAAAGAAACAAATATTCCAGAGAAGGACTTGAGGATGGATGCAGATGGAGGCAGAGAGTCAGCCAGAGAGCTCAGTTGTCCCTTTCCAGAATTGCGAGCTTCTCCCCAGTATAGGGATCCAGGAACGCAGGGTTCCCAGGCAGCAGGCGTAATCAGTCCCTCCACTGAGAGTGCCCTTTGCCATTTTTCTTCGTGCTCTGTGCCTTTTGAGGATCTGGCTGTGATTCTTTCGTGTACACCTCAGTTAGAGCTCAACTCACATTGACTCTTAAGAGACCAGAAAGGTTAGTGTTCGCTCCTGTTGCCTTGCCTGTAGCCTCTGGATGAGACTTTCAGAATTAAGCTCAAACGTTGCCTCTCTCATAGGGTTATACCTTGTCTCCCCATCTGGGAAGTATCTGTAGGCAGGGAGTTTTATCCCTCCTTTATTTTTGATAACCTCAGAACTGATGCGGGAGACTTGGGTCCGATCCCTGGGTTGGGAAGATCCCCTGGTGAAGGGAACGGCTACCCGCTCCAGCATTCTGGCCTGGAGAATTCCAAGGGCTGTATAGTCCATGGGGGCGCAAAGTCGGGCAGGACTTAGCGACTTTCACTTTCAGAACTGATGGCTCTGACAACTGGGCTCTGAATATGAAGTGTTTAACTAGAAGACCAGCAGATGGCGCCATTTGTCATTTATTGACACCCGCGTATAAAGGCGTGTGGCACGGCTTCTTGCCTCTTTAATTTGAGTGGTATTACAAGTAAAATGTTTTCAACTGTTTATTATGCATGAGCCAAAATTCTATGAATGTGTAACATTTTCTCCTGTATTTCCCTTTTTTATAACATCATTTAAATTCCTTATTAATAATTTAAAAATGTTCTGGATTTTAATCACTTTTCTCATCACTAAAATATCTGATGAAGAGATTTTTTTTTCCCCCTGCTGAAGGTGAGCTAGAGGAAACCATCAGCAAGGAAGGAAGAAGAGAATCTCACTCTTGACTGGAGCTCAAGGCCCCTCCTGCACGCTTCATCTTTTCAGTTTAATTGAATAGTATTTATTTAATTAATAAAAATATCTGTTTTGTACAGGTTTCAGAAATCCAAGGCTCAAATAGGCTGCCATTAATAAACTAAGTTTTTTTATATCCAAGTTTAATTATGGTGGTGTTTGTTTGATAGCTTGTTACTGTAAATAAAAGAGATAAAGGCAGCCCTTCACTGGAGTAGCTCGAGAGCTGTGAAATATGTACCTAATTAAAACTATTGGTGTAAGAGGCTAATAAAGTACATGTGCCTACTAGATGTCTTATTCTAATGAATCTCGGCTAATTTGCTTTGACTGATGAATTTCGGTGTTAGTGGTAGGGGCTGAATAATTATGAAATTTATCACAAGATACAAGGACTCATTAAGGATTACTCAGGTTGAGTTAGAGGAATGTTTTCCTTGTCAAGAACACAGGCCTTGACCAGCGTAATTACGGCAATGCCGAAGAGTAGCCAGATTCCAGCCCAAGCCCCAGTGAGTGTCCAAGGCCAGGAGGGGAGCGTGTTCGGGCAGGGGCGGGGCTGGGGAAGTGGAGGCCCCAGAGACAGTCTGGGAGAAACACCTGTACGGGGATCGGGCCTGAATTTTAACAGACGCTTTCACTGCGCACAGAGCTCCCCGTGGATGGATCTAAGAACAATGGCTCTCCTCTCACTCTTTGCTCGTGAACGTTTTCTCCCCACCCTTCGTGAGGAGAAAGGAGTGCTCGCATTTATTTAGCAAGAACACTGCTTGCTGCAGGAAGCCCATTCAGCTTCAAATTCTTTTTTTTTCTTCTAAGTTTTAGCCTTCTGAGTCTCCTGACTTACTAGTGAATCTGATTTTCTTAAGTCCTGAGTGGGAGACCCCAAAACCGGGGCCATGATTAGAGCCCATTTGGCCAGTTTCACATAACTACTTGCAGACTGGCCAGGAGGTTAAAAAAAAAAAAAAGCACACACACCATCTGTTTGGATTTGAAGTGGAAGATACTAACTGTTACAACATGTGCTGCTGGCAACACAGAGAAGAGCTATCTTCCAAGCCACGACCTGGACATTCTGCTCCTCACCGACCCGGAAGCAGAAGAGAAAAGAGGACAGACCTAGATACCTACCTACAGGAAACAGAGGCAGCAGGATAGCTACCCTCCTGAGGGCAGGCAGGAGCCCAGCTCAGGAGATGAGAGCCGTGGATGGAAGGTCACTGTGAGGGGGCCTGGCTTCAGCCTCTTCTTCTGGGGACCAGAAGGAAGTGGGGAGCAGGAGTGGGGCTTGGGAAGGAGGGATAGCAATGCTCCAGAAAGCGACACCCAAGCTGGAAGCCTTGTCAAGCAAATGGAGACATTCACCCTCAGCGTCCCACCCCACACCACAGTAGAGAAGGCTTTCCCAGGGCTGCACGGGGCCTTCATGTCCTAGCATGCTAAGTTGCTTCAGTTGTGTCCAGCTCTTCGCAACCCCCTGGACTATAGCCTGGCTCTGTCTGTCCATGGGCTTCTCCAGGCAGGAATACTGGAGTGGGTTGCCATGCCCTCCTCCAGGAGATCTTCCCAACCCAGGGATCGAACCCGTGTTTCTTACGTCTCCATTGGCAAGCTGGTTCTTTACCACTTGCGCCACCTGGGAGGCCCTTTCATGTCCTAGAACCCGAGGCAATTATATTGTGAGGGGTGTTCTCTTGTTCACAAAGGAATAAAGAACTGTAAACTCTATGACATCAAACCAGATATGTACACATATGTAAAATGTAAATACACATACACATATAAATATCTGCTTCTAAATGTGACTTAAAATTAAAGCAAACAAAACTTCAACTTGTAGGTGTTTTACAACCAAAGCTTTCAAATAAATTAACCCTTTGTTTGGTTTTTCTTTCCAAAAATAACTTTGGCACCAACTTTTTCCAATTTTCCTTCCCTTTGAAGGGAAATGTCAGGCATGATATTAAGTGGAATTTAAACCTTCCTGCCAAAGAGCAAAACCTATTAGAAAACGTGTTGAATTTTGTAATTATTCCTTTCTAACTCAGGAAGGCATCTATTTTCAGAAAAAGAAACACCCCTTGATTCAGGATAAGGCAAAATGATACAGGTTTTAATGTTTCCCCTTCTCCATCTCTCCTTCCTCCCAACCCTTTGGTCTAAGTAAAGTGATAATAATAATAAATATTAAGTGCCTACTGTGTGCCAGGCACGGTACTATACAGTGTGAAAAAGGGAAAGTGTTAGTCACTCACTTATATCTGGCTTTTTTTGCTTTATTGACTATGCCAAAGCCTTTGACTGTGTGGATCACAATAAACTGTGGAAAATTCTGAAAGAGATAGGAATACCAGCCCACATGACCTGCCTCTTGAGAAACCTGTATGCAGGTCAGGAAGCAACATTTAGAACTGGACATGGAACAACAGACTGGTTCCAAATAGGAAAAGGTGTACGTCAAGGCTGTATATTGTCACCGTGCTTATTTAACTTCAATGCAGTGTACATCATGAGAAACGCTGGGCTGGAGGAAGCACAAGCTGGAATTAAGATTGCCGGGAGAAATATCAATAACCTCAGATACGCAGGTGACACCACCCTATGGCAGAAAGTGAAGAGGAACTAAACAGCCTCTTAATGAAAGTGAAAGAGGAGAGTGAGAAAGTTGGCTTAAAGCTCAACATTCAGAAACCTAAGATCATGGCATCTGGTCCCATCACTTCATGGCAAATAGACGGGGAAACAGTGGAAACAATGTCAGACTTTATTTTTTGGGCTCCAAAATCACTGCAGATCATGATTGCAGCCATGAAATTAAAAGACGCCTACTCCTTGGAAGGAAAGTTATGACCAACCTAGATAGCATATTAAAAAGCAGAGACATTACTTTGGCAACAAAGGTCCATCTCATCAAGGTTATGGTTTTTCCAGTGGTCATGTATGATGTGAGAGTTGGATTATAAAGAAAGCTGAGCGCCGAAGAATTGATGCTTTTGAACTGTGGTGTTGGAGAAGACTCTTGAGAGTCCCTTGGACTGCAAGGGGATCCAACCAGTCCATCCTAAAGGAGATCAGTCCTGGGTGTTCACTGGAAGGACTGATGTTGAAGCTGAAACTCCAATACTTTGGCCACCTCATGCGATGAGTTGGCTCATTGGAAAAGACCCTGATGCTGGGAAAGATTGGGGGCAGGAGGAGAAGGGGACAACAGAGGATGAGATGGCTGGATGGCAACACCGGCTCGATGGATATGAGTTTGAGTAAACTCCGGGAGTTGGTGATGGACAGGGAGGACTGGCGTGCTGCAATTCATGGGGTCGCAAAGAGTCAGACACGACTGAGCGACTGAACTGAACTGAAGACATTGCCTGCCAGGCTCCTCTGTCCCTGGAATTCTCCAGGCAAGAGTACTGGAGTAGGTAGCCATTCCTTTCTCCAGGGGATCTTCCCAACCCGGGGACTGAACCCAGGTCCCCTGCATTGCAGACAGATTCTTTGCCAT